CTTTTTGTTGGACCCCTCGCTACCGTTCAAAAATTAGGGGGTCTCTGCCTTTCTGCGTCAACGTCCATCCTCAGACACTGTGGGCCCTGTGCGCTCGCGTTCCGCTGCCATGGCAGCAGGGGAGGGGTGGTAGGAGCAGTGGCAGCTCCACCAGCAGCGGCTGCCTCAGTCTGCAGTCGATGATGAGTAGCTTTCTTCACCAGCGCAGTGAGGAAACTACTAACCAGCCGCAGCATCAGGTGGACCTGGAGCAGGACCTCAAACAACAGGCGTGGGCCTACTTGGACAGCACCCTGCCAACCGAGGTAGACAATCCCCTTGACTACTGGGCAACGAAACTTGACCTTTGGCCCCAACTAGCTGAATTTGCCCTTGAAAGGCTGTCATGCCCGGCCAGTAGCGTGGCATCGGAGCGCGTGTTTAGTGCGGCAGGAGGTATTGTAACTCCGCAGAGGACACGACTGTCCACCCAAAGTGTGGAGAGACTCACGTTTGTGAAAATGAATCAGGCGTGGATTAGTCTGGATTTCAAACCACCAGTTCCTGACACAACTGACTAAATCCGCCATGAATCATGCCCCAAACATGTTATTATTTTTAACATAGGCCTCTGTATGGCCTTCAATTTAAGCTGCTTACGCTTCGCCACTCTGCCATGGGCCCCTGTACCGCCTCCTCTTGCTGCTGCCAGGTCCAGAGTGTGTCATGGGTCCCTGTACGGCCTCCCATTGCTGCTGTCTCCATCGCCACACTCTGCCATGTGCCACTTTCAGGTCTCCCCACACTGCTTGTGGGTTCCATTTTGTCATAGGGTGCTGGCAGATTACAGGCCTCCCATTGCTGCTGCCAGGCCCGTAATCTGCCATGGGCCCCCGTACCGCCCCCTCATGCTGCTGCCAGGTCCAGAGTGTCTCATGGGTCCCTGTACGGCCTCCCATTGCTGCTGTCTCCATCGCCACACTCTGCCATGTGCCACTTTCAGGTCTCCTCACACTGCTTGTGGGTTCCATTTTGTCATAGGGTGCTGGCAGATTACGGGCCTCCCATTGCTGCTGCCAGGCCCGTAATCTGCCATGGGCCCCCGTACCGACTCCTCATGCTGCTGCCAGGCCCCTAATCTGTCATGGGCCCCTGTACCGCCTCCTCATGCTGCTGCCAGGTCCAGAGTGTGTCATGGGTCCCTGTACGGCCTCCCATTGCTGCTGTCTCCATCACCACACTCTGCCATGTGCCACTTTCAGGTCTCCTCACACTGCTGGTGGGTTCCATTTTGTCATAGGGTGCTGGCAGATTACGGGCCTCCCATTGCTGCTGCCAGGCCCGTAATCTGCCATGGGCCCCCGTACCGACTTCTCATGCTGCTGCCAGGTCCAGAGTGTGTCATGGGTCCCTGTACGGCCTCCCATTGCTGCTGTCTCCATCGCCACACTCTGCCATGTGCCACTTTCAGGTCTCCTCACACTGCTGGTGGGTTCCATTTTGTCATAGGGTGCTGGCAGATTACGGGCCTCCCATTGCTGCTGCCAGGCCCGTAATCTGCCATGGGCCCCCGTACCGACTCCTCATGCTGCTGCCAGGCCCGTAATCTGTCATGGGCCCCTGTACCGCCTCCTCATGCTGCTGCCAGGTCCAGAGTGTGTCATGGGTCCCTGTACGGCCTCCCTTTGCTGCTGTCTCCATCGCCACACTCTGCCATGTGCCACTTTCAGGTCTCCTCACACTGCTGGTGGGTTCCATTTTGTCATAGGGTGCTGTATGGCCTCCCATTGCTGCTTCCAGGTCCGTAATCTGCCATGGGCCCCCGTACCGACTCCTCATGCTGCTGCCAGGCCCGTAATCTGTCATGGGCCCCTGTACCGCCTCCTCATGCTGCTGCCAGGTCCAGAGTGTGTCATGGGTCCCTGTACGGCCTCCCATTGCTGCTGTCTCCATCGCCACACTCTGCCATGTGCCACTTTCAGGTCTCCTCACACTGCTGGTGGGTTCCATTTTTTCATAGGGTGCTGTATGGCCTCCCATTGCTGCTGCCTCCACCGCCACACTGTGGCTCCACACTCTGGTTTTGGCCCCGTGACTGCCCAAATGAGTGAAGTGTGCGGTGATTCTAAGATCAACGGCACTCATCTGCATGTCATACTGACTGACAGTATTATTTCTCTTCCCCAGCAGACCCCAAGGGCATTTAAATTAAAGGTACAGTGTTCTGCACTAATATAAAGGCTCTCTGAAGCCTAGAAACACCCTTTTTATAAGTTAAATTCGCAGCGAATATATTCGACTCGAATCGAATTTATTCCGCGAATTCGCCGAATCAGCCGAATCGAATTTTTGAATAATTCGCTCATCTCTAATTCTCATAATTTAATTCCATATTTTTAAATGTCTTTAGGGCACCTCTGGCATGCAAGGATGTGTTTTGTCATAGCATTTGAAAAAGATTATTTCTTCTCACAATAATTGCAAATTGCAGTTTTGCTCTGTGGAAATGTTTCCAAACTCTCGATGTTGGCCTCACCATTTTACTGAGAAGATAAAAAGAAAAACAATTTACGGATCAGACTATATGTAACCATTATGCTGTGATGGTGGAGAATATTAATAGAAATACTTTAAAGGTTATGAAGATAAACTAATTTGTCAGACCCTCTTACCTGTCAATGAAGGATTGAGGGGGCAGAAACTATCATCTACTGCTTGCCTTGAAATTTCTGCTCGTATTTGGTGAGTGGAAATAATGTGGGGGCGAGTGTGTGCTGACACCCACCCTGAGGAGAGCTCGATGTGTGCCTCAGGTGCACAGCTCCCCTTCTTCGCTATCTCCCACCATCACCACCTCCCCTGCCCGCAGACTGCCAAGAGTCACGTGTGCCGGGTGGGTGGGGCCTCCTCTCCGAGCTTCATTCATAAATCCTGAGGCCGGTGACTGAGCTGCAGCTCGGAGCGGGAGGTGACGAATTGAGCGCAGGAAGGCCACGCCAGGCAGGAGGTCATTGGTGGCCGTCGCAGGGTGTGCACAGGATCTGTTAGGTTGGAGGTGGCCATCCTTGTGTTGGGGATGGGGAGCACTGGCTGCTAAAAGCACACACACAGCCCCATAATAAAACACACACAGCACACAGTTAACCCTTTGATCGCCCCAGATGTTAACCCCTTCCTGCTCAGTGCCATTAGTACAGAGTCAGTGCTTTTTATTTACACTGATCACTGTATTGGTGTCACTGTGGATGTCAGTGGCACCAAGTCAGTTCCCCCCAGTGTCAGAATGCCCCACCGCAGTCCCGCTATAGGTCTCTGATCACCGGGCCATTACTAGTAAAAATAAAATTAAAAGAAAAAAATTCCAGTATCTATAACGCCGTTTGCAAACGCTGTAAGGCTACGTTCACACTAGCGTTGTGTGCAGGCGGCAGAGAGGCGTTTGGGAAGCATTTTTACCGCTTCCCAAAACGCCTCGGACAATTCTGCACATTGCAGCACATGGTGCTGTTCTAACAGGAGCGTTAGCGTCGCGGCAAAACGGATGCCTTTGGTCGAGTCAGGAGGCGTTGAAGCCTCCTATTCTAGTCTATGGTGCCGCTCCGCAAATGCCCGGCCGGCGTTTGCGGCGCGGTTGTGGGGCGTTTTGTGGAGCGGTAACACCATTTAAACTTCATTATAGGCATTTGTGGAGCGGTTTTAATGCTCGGCAAACACCGCTAAACCGCGCATGCGGCATTTGCGGAGCGCTAAAAAACGCTCCGCAAACGCCGGACCAACGCTTACCAAACGCTATAGGGGCGTTTGGCAAGTGTTTGTAAAACAGTCAAGTGTAACGAGCCCTTACTTAATTTACACATATTAGGACATGTAGCAGAATACAATTTGGTGTAAATTTATTTGATTTTTAAAATTTTTTTACTGGACATGTTTAATAGCAAAAAGTCAAAAATAGTTTTTCAGGTTTTCATTTGAACCTCTGGAAGACTGGATATGACACTCCAACTTTGCTATACTATTACATACCTTATATAAGTGAGAAAATAAATAAGTGCTCTTATATTCAAAGGCATTGGTTAGGCCTTCTGCGCGATATAAAAAAAAGTATTATTGTCCTAGCCCAGTGGTGGGCAACCTTTTTTTTCAACTGAGCCAAATCTCGCCAAAACCACGATTGAAATTTATTTTGAGAGCCACATTTTCAAAACTGAAAATACATCCCCCATATAGTAATTCATCCCCCATAGTAATTCATCCCCCATATAGTAATTCATCCCCCATAGTAATTCATCCCCCATATAGTAATTCATCCCCCATAGTAATTCATCCCCCATATAGTAATTCATCCCCCATATTAATTCATCCTCCATATAGTAATTCATCCCCCATAGTAATTCATCCCCCATATAGTAATTCATCCCCCCCATATTAATTCATCCCCCATATAGTAATTCATCCCCCCATAGTAATTCATCCCCCATATAGTAATTCATCCCCCATAGTAATTCATCCCCCATATAGTAATTCATCCCCCATATAGTAATTCATCCCCCATAGTAATTCATCCCCCATAGTAATTCATCCCTCATATAGTAATTCATCCCCCATATAGTAATTCATCCCCCATAGTAATTCATCCCCCATAGTAATTCATCCCTCATATAGTAATTCATCCCCCATATAGTAATTCATCCCCCATATAGTATTTCATCTCTCATATAGTAATTCATCCCCCATATAGTATTTCATCCCTCATATAGTATTTCATCCCCCATATAGTATTTCATCCCCCATATAGTATTTCATCCCCCACAGTACTATACCCCCCCAAGTAGTAAGCCAAGTCCCCCGTGTCAATTCACTTACCTTTGCTCCGCGCGTTCCTCTCGCCGTGTTCCCGCGCGTTCGGGTCTTCAGGGCGGACTGTGAGAGGAGCCTAGCTCCCCTCACGTTCGTCACGCTGCCCCGCCTACACACATCCTGACAGCCACATCCGCGGGCCGGATTAAAAGGTCCGCGTGGACTTTTGGGGCGGCCGACCGAGAGGAGGGAGGGGAGCGGGCGCCCGGCACACAGAAGAGCCGCATTAGAGTGTGTAAAGAGCCGCATGTGGCTCGCGAGCCACGGCTTGCCGACCACTGTCCTAGCCAAAAGGACCAGCCCAAGTAGCAAGAAGAAAACAAAGTGAAGAAGTGACCATAATACCATATAATGAACAGTGAGGTCCCAAACCAAAGTTATTTCTGACACCCTTGGTTGCCATTTTAAAGCGGTATTAAACCAAAAAACAAAAATTAAATATATTGCAGCCTAGCAATCATTACATGGCTGCATTCGTTTTCTTTTGGGGGGGCTTTTTCCCTCTGATTTCACCTGGTGATCTAGCCAAAAACACATTTCCTGTATTTAGTGTCCCCACTCTGGATGAAGGAGCACAGGGGGCACATTTAGACAGCAGAAATGTCAGTCTGAGGGGAAGAAGGTGTTAGATGTGCTAGCAGATTTAGATACACTATCAAATTGAAGCCAAACTCCACTGATACTTTAAAAACAGTTACAGTTTTTTTGGCCTTTTGGGATAAAGGCTTTACATAAATAAAAAAACAATCATTGTAAGCGCCCCTGTCAGTGGTAAATAGTTTGTCTCATCCCTGCTGATAAAATCTGCAGGAAAGCTTGCTCTTTTTAAAAATAACAGTCTTACTGGCTGGATCGCCAGAAGAAAATAGAAGAAAGAAAGCCTAAAAAAGAAAACTAATGCAGCCATCACATTTAAGAATTGGTAAGCTGCAATATAGTAAATGTTTGCTTTTGGGTTTAAAGCGGAGTTCACCTAAAAAAAAAATAAATAAATGTCAGTAGCTACAAAAACTGTAGCTGCTGACTTTTAAAACCTCTCCCTTGGTCCTCACCACCGCTGGTTTCACCGGCCATCTTCTCTCCCTGGTGCCGGCATCTTCAGTGTGGGCACCCGGCTGTGACAGTTTGCGGCTTCACAGCCGGGTACCCACTGCACATGTGCGAGAAGCGCTGCGCTTTGTGAATGACCCCGTAGCCTTCTGGGACCTGTCACGTGTCCCAGAAGACTACGGGGAGGGAGGGGAGGACAACTTCCGCTTCCGATCGCCTAGG